ATGCCTCAGGCCGGCTCTGCGTATGCCTCAGGCCGGCTCTGCGTATGCCTCAGGCCGGCTCTGCGTATGCCTCAGGCCGGCTCGCTCGTTGCTCTGCTGCTTCTGAATGATTTTATCGGCTCCATCAGAGGGGATTTCTGTGTTTTTCTGCTCATTAGCCGTTGTTCTTTAGCGCTGTTTGGATGTCAGAGTCGGAGGTCAAACGGGCCTCGGCCCACGCAGGGGAACCGTCACCAGGGCGATAATCTGCCCGGCGCTTCTCCAGTTACCGGCGGCTCCGGTTACATCTCCGCTGCTGGTCTCGCTTTCAATCTGCTTTGTTTTCCAGCTGCAGGGGAAAAAACTGCACTTTTATTCCCTCCGAGTGTTCGCTTTGTGATTAATGAGGCTCACACACTTTATTTTTACATCGTGGACAGCAGACAGAAAACAGTATGAATGTTTGCGCTGCTGCTGGACCTTTAACCCGTCAGCCGGATGGAAAGGCTTTTTAACTCATCCATCACACGCAGAAGTGCAGGAGAAGGACGAAGGCGAGATGGAGGCTGGAGTATTTAGATAACCGCCATCGATCAGCCGCAGAACGAAGCCGAGCCAGAAAACCGCAGCGCTGATCCACCGGGTCGCTGATCCACCGGGTCGCTGATCCACCGGGTCGCTGATCCACCGGGTCGCTGATCCACCGGGTCGCTGATCCACCGGGTCGCTGATCCACCGGGTCGCTGATCCACCGGGTCGCTGATCCACCGGGTCGCTGATCCACTCCAACATCCAAACGCTCCAGATTTACAGATGATGCAAATTAAAATTACAGTTTTAATACAAGTTCAGCCTGTGACTTGGCCTGTTACACTGCAAAAACACGAAAACGTACCGAGGAGTTTGGATGAATGGAGCAAATATCTTAATAAATATCTGAAAATAAACTAAACTAACAGGAAACTTTCAGCAACAACTGAGAGTTTCATTAATATTGATGAAAAGCTTCGAGTTCAACATGCAGATTATTAAATGTTTTATTAAGTGAAATAATCTGCAGAGGAACTCGAACTTTTCCATCAATATTAATGAAGTTGGTTTGTGTTTTACAGTGCATGTTTGAATTTATCACTTTCATTAAACATTGTTTTGGTATTAAAGTTTTTTTTCTGAAGTAAAACCTGAAAACAGATCCGGGTTAAACGCTCCGTTACCGTGGAAACGTGTCACTCTAACTCGCGGCGACTAAACCTTCGCTCCGGTTCACGTAACAAAGTGTTTCTGATCCGCTGATCCACTGATCCACTGATCCGCTGATCCACTGATCCACCGGGTCGTTGATCCACCGGGTCGCTGATCCACCGGGCCGCTGATCCACTGATCCACCGGGTCGCTGATCCACCGGGTCGCTGATCCACCGGAGTTCCTGGAGTTCAGTGGTTTATCGCCGAGTGTCTGAATGAAAGCTTCGCCATTTTAAACAAAATTGATCAAATTATTTTAAATGATTATTTTTCAGAGTAAAAGAATTAAACTGAAGCTAAAACTAAATACCACCAACACAAACCTGTGACCCTCTGCTTCAAAGCAATGGCTCCTGATGGGGCGCGGCGCGGATCCATTGTGACTCTGGCCGGCTCTGCTTTCGGTCAAACTGACCAAACACAGAATTGAGCAAACAGGAGGAAGTCGCTCCGTTCGCTTCGACTCGCCTGAACATTTGATCAAAAACCAAAACCAACCGAAGACAAAGACGACCTGCTGCTGAAAACCCAAAACGACCAGAGTCCAGAGTCCAGAGACCAGAGACCAGAGACTAGAGACTAGAGACCAGAAACCAGAGACCAGAGACCAGAGACCAGAGACCAGAGACCAGAGACCAGAAACCAGAGACCAGAGACCAGAGACCAGAGACCAGAGACCAGAGACCAGAGACCAGAGTCCAGAGACTAGAGACCAGAAACCAGAGAGTAGAGACTAGAGACCAGAGACTAGAGACCAGAGTCCAGAGACTAGAGACCAGAAACCAGAGACCAGAGACCAGAGACCAGAGACCAGAGACCAGAGACCAGAGACTAGAGACCAGAGACCAGAGACTAGAGACCAGAGACCAGAGACTAGAGACCAGAGACCAGAGACCAGAGACCAGAGACCAGAAACCAGAGTCCAGAGACTAGAGACCAGAGACCAGAAACCAGAGACCAGAGTCCAGAGACTAGAGTCCAGAAACCAGAAACCAGAGACCAGAAACCAGAGACCAGAGACCAGAGACCAGAGACTAGAGACCAGAGACCAGAGACCAGAGACTAGAGACCAGAGACCAGAGTCCAGAAACCAGAGACCAGAGACCAGAGACCAGAGTCCAGAGACTAGAGTCCAGAAACCAGAGACCAGAGACCAGAGACCAGAGACCAGAGACCAGAGACCAGAGACTAGAGACCAGAGACCAGAGACCAGAGACCAGAGACCAGAGACCAGAGACCAGAGACTAGAGACCAGAGACCAGAGACCAGAGACCAGAGACTAGAGACCAGAGACCAGAGACCAGAGTCCAGAGACTAGAGACCAGAGACCAGAGACCAGAGACCAGAGACTAGAGACCAGAGACCAGAGACTAGAGACCAGAGACCAGAGACCAGAGACTAGAGACCAGAGACCAGAGTCCAGAAACCAGAGACTAGAGACCAGAGACCAGAGACCAGAGTCCGGAGACTAGAGACCAGAAACTAGAGTCCAGAAACCAGAGACTAGAGACTAGAGACCAGAGTCCAGAGACTAGAGACTAGAGTCCAGAGACCAGACCAGAGACTAGAGACCAGAGACCAGAGACCAGAGACCAGAGACTAGAGACCAGAGACCAGAGTCCAGAGACCAGAGACCAGAGACCAGAGACTAGAGACTAGAGACCAGAAACCAGAGACCAGAGACTAGAGACCAGAGACCAGAGTCCAGAGACTAGAGACCAGAGTCCAGAGACCAGAGACTAGAGACCAGAGTCCAGAGTCCAGAGTCCAGAGTGACCGTCAGACTCTCTGCTCAGAATTATTACAGATATTAAATGCTGGAAAGTCTTTTATTAATTTAGCTGAAATAAACACTGAAAATGTCATTTTTCCTGGACACCAACGTTCCCGTCTTTGTTGAAATGTTCGAACCGCAGTAGGAAAGACTTGACCTTTGACCTCCAGATTTCTTCAGACAAATGAGTTTGTTCATGTCAGTGAGTGTAGAAAATGAAATGAATTGAAGACTCATGAACCAGAAATAGAGAATCTTTAGAATCTTTACATAAAGAATATGCTGAAAATAGACTCATTTCATAAACTTTAAAGAGTCTAAAGTGAAAAAAAAGTTTTTTCTACTTTGGTTATTTTGAACAGAAAGCCGGCCTGATGCATAAGCAAACTCAGCAACTACAAGTCAGGTTTCACTGATTATATTCTTCTTCATTAGTTTTAATTGTGCAAAATGAAAATGATAATGTTGATATTCAAAAGGAAAGATGTATATAATTTCAATGAGTGAAACGTTTTAGAAATATATTTCTTCTTTGTTCCATTTGACAAAATAAACTAGAATCAAAATAAATTTATTTTTCTCTGAAATAATATGGATTAATCAGTTGGATTTTATCTGAACTCTAGAACAAACATTCACATTTTGCATAAAACCTGAAAACTTTCAGATTCTGGAAACAAATGTTTGATTATTGTGAAATTTTCTATATGCTGTAAAATAAAGGTTGTGTTGAATGTGTAAAACTTTAACATTTAAACTTTATAAAATAGGAGTTTTTTTAAAATAGATTAAGTAGGAAGACAAATGATATGAGCTGCTGGTTAGGACAGCCAGGCCAGTAGGGGGCCCAACAGCAGCGGCGTATTCACAGAAAGCAGCAAGAAAAACTTTAAACGACTATCAGGAATTCATCTACTTTCATATTTTAGATAACTTTATTCGTCTCTATTGATTCTGGGCAGATTTTAGTTTTGAAGAGAACAAATCTTTTAGCATGATGCTAACGAGCTTGATGCTAACTATCATGATGCTAATGTTTAGCATCATGCTAGTTACCTCATCAGACAAACCAAAATATAAAGTTAAGTAGAAATTTTGGTATAAGGAAGAAAATGACATAAATTCATATAAGAAACCGAAACATAAAGTTTGCCAAAATAAAAATATTATTTCAACCGAAACTTCAGAACCTTTAACAGGTTTGAGTTTCTGGTTAAAACATGTTTGACTTACATTCACTGGGAAGAAAATGCAGAAATACTTTATGATAAAATGAGTGAAGTCAAAAGTTCAGCACTGTAAAAAAGATTTATTCAAAAGTTGCTCAGTAATTGTACTTTCTCACTCATTTAGACAGTAATTATAATTTTCTATACAACTTCATTCACTTCAACATGTAAACCAACAAAATGAAAACTGGCTGACATGTTTTCCATGTTTTAGTTTTGGCTTCTAGTTTCCTTCAGTATAATTTGATTAAAATAAAATCGTCATTTAAAATACGGAGATGAAAAATTGATGTTAGCGTTTCGCTGTTTTTCTGTGTAGAGATCTAAAGGTGAGAGAGAAGCAGCTGTGTGTGTGTGTGTGTGTGTGTGTGTGTGTGTGTGTGTGTGGTGTGTGTGTGTGTGTGTGTCAGTTGTTTAGATAATCAGCAGCTGTCAGAATCACAGCAGGTTTTCTGATCATTCATGTTTCATCCATCAGCTCATCGTTTGTCCAACACAATGAGGCAGAAAATCTTTATCCAGCTCACACACATAGACCAGAATGTGTGTGTGTGTGTGTGTGTGTGTGTGTGTGTGTGTGTGTTAAGGAGCGCAGCAAACATGAATAACACAACGCGGCTCCTGAATCCACCGCAGAAATATTAATAATACCAACATGAAATATTTATGAACTTGTGACAAGAGAAGCAACAAGTTTGATTTATTGATTATTTGTTATTAAAGGCGCCGCTTTATAAAACTGATCCGTTTTGACCACGCCCCCTTTTTAATCCATAAAGTTTCTATTGGAGCCCAAATCAAACCGAACCGAATCTGCTGCCAGATTCTCATCAATGTTTTCCAACAAGCCGAGCCGTTTGGACTTTTACATCAGCGGGACATCGGTCGGTCGGGTCACCGTGACGTCATAGCCCCGGTGTGGTGCCGCAGGTTCGGTGGGTTGGACTGTCGGCCTGGGAGGTTCCGAGCGGCAGGAGGAGGATCTGCTGCCTGACAGTCGGAGCCCCGAGTCGGTCAGAGCGCACAGCACAGCGGCGCTGCTGCAGACCGGACCGAACCGAGCCGAGCCGAGCCGAACCGCTGCCTGATGCCTCGCGTCGCTTCACCTCTACAGGAACTTTGTGGGTTTTGGGGAATCCGAACCTGTGGTGGAAACGCGCCGCTCATGTTCCGGTGTGGTTCTGGAGCTCCGTGTCGCAGCCGCTGGACTCTCCAGGTTCTCACTGTCCGCATCCTTCTCTTTAAGGTGGCATGAATTTGGACAGAATCTCGGAGGCCGTGAGAGCCGCGCCGCCCCGTGACGTGGCCGCCGCGTTTCATTTACAGAGACCAGCGGAGGCCGGACGGGTTCTGGAGAACTCCAGCAGCGAGTCGTCAGACGCAGAGCTGGCAGGTAGATACCGCCGGACGGATCCAGACTTTCACTGAGCGCAAATCATGTTGCTGCGCAGAAAGCAGAGAAACCCGCAGCGGGACGTTCATTTACGCGCCAGCAGAACCCAGATCTGTTCTGGTCCGGTTTTGCGCTGCCTGAGCCAATCAGCGGGCGGGATCCCGGACTGGGTCACGGAAAATGTGCGGAGCCAAAAAATAAACCATAAATAGCATCAATGTGAAATGCAGCGAAATATTCACAGGTTAAAGGTGAACATGCGGCTTTTGGTTCCGCTTGGAAATGTGCGAATCTTTGCTTTTCTTTCTCTGTCTAAGTTTTATGAAAATACTTGCAAATGTCTGGCCTCAGGCTCTGCGCGCTGCTCCTTCAAACCTTTCGCTGTTTTGCAACCTGGAAACTGAATCCGCGTGTGAAACGTTGGAGCAGAACCGCAGCGCCGCAGCGCCGCGCGTCCTCACCGCACCGCCGCTTTCTGTTCCCGCAGACAAGGAGCGCAGCGCGGAGCAGCGCAGCGATGACGGCAGCGCCGACGACCCGAAGAAGAAGAAGCAGCGGCGGCAGCGGACTCACTTCACCAGCCAGCAGCTGCAGGAGCTGGAGGCCACGTTCCAGAGGAACCGGTACCCGGACATGAGCACCAGGGAGGAGATCGCCGTCTGGACCAACCTGACCGAGGCCAGGGTTCGGGTAGGACAACCGCGTCCACATTTCACTAATCAGTCCGATCGATTTGAAATCACAATGTCTGATTTTATGACGGCAGCAGTGAACTTTAGGATTTACATTCCGGGTCAAACAGTTTGACCTTCATGAGTTTGAAAGATTTTAGTTTTTCGGATCGAAATTCATTTCAAATGTTTCGGATCAAAGGCGAATTATTTCAATAATTTTCCTGATCAACATCCAAAAATTGATAAACATCAGGAAACATCCAGCTTGTTTGGACCTGCATCAGGTCCAGTTCGGATCTTTGCTCCGTTTAATCACAAACTGAACGACACCAGAACATGAAATATTTCCTCTTCATCTTTTTTCATCGTTCGGTTCTGGCGGGACTTTGGGCCGTTTTCCCGCGCAGCCACGTGAAACTTTCTGTGGAAATGAAGAGTCGGTTCTGGAATGTTCCGGTTCCGTTGGGTTTGGAGCACCAGCTGCAGTTTTCTGTCGTGCACTTTATAAAAAATAAAGCATATTTCTGTTAAACGGGACATTTTGAATTATTGCAGATCAGAAAAATCAAATGAATTTATTCTAATCGCTTCCGGTCGCTTTGATTTTTCTCCTTCATTTTTTTGCAGCAGCTTCTGCAAATGATTTATGTTATGAATCCTCTTCACGGGACGGATCCACTTACTGTTTCAGTTATGAGTTAAAAACGATTCCGCAGACTGGCGGCTCGGTCCGGTCCGGTCCGGTCCGGTCCGGTTCGGCCCCAGCTGCTGGTTTTATTCTGACGCGCGGATCATATAAACGCAGTGACTCCGCAGGAGTTTCACATTAAAGTCAAATGGCGCAAACGGGTCAAACTGCGTCTTTTTATCGAAACTGATTTTGATTTTATATGATTAGATTTTGAACTTTATTTGATGCGATCAGATTCTGTAGTTTCATTTACAAAAAATTATTTTGTGTTTTTTAATTGACAAATTATATTTTATTGGAGGTTTTGCTGTCCAGAAAATAAGCATTAAAATGATGTAGCATAACTTCAGTATTTATGTATTAAATTAATTCAGACGCAGAAATATTAACCAATAAATTGTTTATTGTTTTATGTTCAGAAATAAATTATTGCAAAGCGATTTAAAAATGTTCGGCGCACATTCATATATTATATTTAATGAAGAGCTTTACACTAAAAAACAGATAAAATGAGTTTAATGATTCATGTAACGTTCACGGACCCACGGGAGTAAAAACAGCTCCGTGAAAAACCCACGATGAGGAAGAAAAACAGACGAGCTGATAATAATAATAAAATCATTATTATTATCAGAGTAATTATTATTTGTATTATTATTATTGTTATTATTATTTATTATTATTATTATTGTTATTTCTGTTATTATAATTATTGTTATTTATGTTATTATTATTATTATTGTTATTTCTGTTATTATTATTATTTCTGTTATTATTATTATTATTATTGGTGTAAATAATTTTGCTAAAGTGATATTTTATTTAAAAAATGAATACATGTTTCTAAATGCATGAAATGATTTTCCTGCATCATAAATAGAATCTGCATGAATCTTTATTATATTCGCTCTCGGTTTTTGACACCAATCTGGATTTTCCGATTATTGTCACCGTGACTCAGTGACCAGCCTGGAGCTGAATAGTGCGGCTGGCAGCCTGCGGTAGTGACGCAGTGTTTACCTTCCAGGTGTGGTTCAAGAACCGCCGGGCCAAGTGGAGGAAGCGGGAGCGGAACCAGCAGATGGACCTGTGCAAGAACAGCTACCTGCCGCAGTTCAGCGGCCTCATGCAGCCCTACGAAGACATGTACCCGACCTACACCTACAACAACTGGACCAACAAGGGCCTGGCCCCGGCGCCGCTGTCCACCAAGAACTTCACCTTCTTCAACTCCATGAGTCCGCTCACCTCGCAGTCCATGTTCTCCGCGCCGAACTCCATCTCCTCCATGAGTATGGCGTCCGGCATGGGCCACTCCGCGGTGCCCGGCATGGCGGCCCCGGGCCTCAACAACATCAGCAACCTGAACGGCATCGGAACCTCTGGCATCAACTCGGCCATGTCGTCCTCCGCGTGTCCGTATGGCCCTCCCGGCTCGCCGTACAGCGTTTACCGGGACACGTGCAACTCCAGCCTGGCCACCCTAAGACTGAAGTCCAAGCAGCACCCGACGTTCGGCTACAGCGGCCTGCAGAGCCCCGGCTCCAGCCTCAACGCCTGCCAGTACAACAGCTGACGGGCCGCGGGGCCCCGAACCGACCCGCAGGATCCGCATCTCACCCCGAACCCGCACCCGAACCGACCCGGATCCCTGCGCTCAACTTTTCCCTGAGAGAAAAAAGGATGCTGCGGGTTGAAACATCCGGGATCCTTTTCTAAATAATGAAGACGTGTTTCTGCTGCACTGTACATATTTCACTGTAAATACAAACTGGGATTCTGGTTCCGGTACCGGCGGAGCTGCTTGGTGGCTCCATGTCGTAGCGACGCACTTAAACTATTCAAAACCAAAAATTATAAAAATACTCCAAATATTTCATTTGATATTTTCAGGAATATTTTTTTCATCCGTTTCGTTTCTGATGAGCAGAAATTGATCAGCAGCTGGTTCCGTTTCGTACCTGGAAAAAGAACATCGCGCCAAAAAAACGACTAAAAAATAACAAGAAGAAAAATGACCCACGGAGCAAAAACCCAGAATCCATTTGGAAATGACAGGTACGAAACGGAGCCACAAGTTTTGCTCGTTGTTCGTTTTTGAATTAAATTTTCAATTCATAAAAAATAAAAAGACAGAAAATGTCGGAGGTGAAATGAACGGAACCGCTGAAGAGGGATTATTAATTACAATAATTACAAAACATGACAGTAATTGATGTTAAAGAGGTAAAAAAAAAGAAGAAATCTTGACTTTATTGTACATATTTTATAAACGCTTCTTTGTGCTTTTTGCCACCGACTGCTTCTCATTTTATCTGCTCAAAAAAACCAACAATGTTTAACTGACGTGATTTAATGTAAAACTGTTTCTAAAATGATCCAAAGTTCTGGTGTTTAATGTAACGTGTCTGAATAAAACAGAAACTGAAAAGGTTCATTTAAATATTTAGCTTCACTTCAAAATAATTATGTTCTATAAACTGATTTGATTCGCTTTCATCGAGACTGAAGGAGGAATTAGAAAGTTAAAAACTGATCATTTATGATCAACCAAAGCTCAGAAATCCTGCAGTTTGCATTGAATAAATCAGTAAAAATGATTAGAATCTGTCTCATAAGCGCTCTCTCATTCAGTCAACATCATATCTGCTGTTCTGACACCTGCAGAAATCCTCATATCTGTATTATCTATATTACTGCCATTACACTGATATTAGTGTTTAACCTGATAGGTAATCTGAGGGATTAGGATCAGAGGCAGCTGTTAATAAAACACTGAAATATGGTCAGAATTAATTATTAAACACAAATGATTTAAAATGTCATTTATAGATTAGAGCGTAACTGTTTATAAAACATATTTTGCTTTATTATTAAAGCTTTTAATCAAACATTGGAGTAATATTTCTAATCCTAAGAATTAACTTTTATTTTCCTTGTTGCTCAGATTAGAATTTTTTTCCTATTAATTTTTACTTCAAACATTAATTTAATTGATATTTTATTCATAAACAGCAGGAAGTTTCTTTTCGTTCAATGTTTGTCATTTTCTGCCTTTCAGTGTTTAATGGATCATTTTCATCATTTCATTTATTTGTCATCATTTAGCAGGAAAGTCTAAACTGCACCGTTTCCGATTATCTGGTATATTAAAGTTTTGTGAATATGAATATTTAGCTGTTCACTCCTCAGACCACCGGCGGCGCGCGGCGTTTATTTAAGGCGCGCACGCGCATTGCTTGAAGCTGCAGCTCTTGGCTTTGATCAGAAATCCTCAGGCAGCAAGACGCGCCGCACCGCACCGCCGCCGCGCCGCACCGCGCCGCACCGCCACCATGCCACACCGCGCCGCGCCGCCGCCGCACCGCGGTGATTCGCAACAAAAACAAACCGCGCAAACTGTCGTAAAACGTCTCCAATAGTTTTCCTGATTGCGGCTGTAAACGAGGCGCGGACGCGCACGCGCACACGCAGGCCAAAGTTCAGCGCCGCTTTATACCTGGTAAATATTTGAAGAGTTTTTCTCTGGAAATCCCCGCAAACCCGATGAAGAAAACGGAACAGTTATGGTGCAAAAACTGCGCATTAATGGGAAAAATATCGGCGGAATTCTAAGATAAACTAACAACAACAAAAAACAGATAAAACTAAAATCAAACATCCTTGGTGATAATCAGATCACATTTTCCAGTTAAACTGTTCTGGGAAACAGATGATAATATTGACAACAATCAATCAATCAATCAATCAATCAATTTTGTTTGTACAGCACATTTCAGCAGCAAGGCATTTCAAAGTGCTTTACATCATAAACACAAGAACACAAAGTCATGCAACAGACAATGCATTGTTACATATTACATTTCAAATGAAACTCTAAACAGGTGTGTTTTTAGTTGCGATTTAAAAGCAGTCAGGGTTTCTGCTGTTTTACAGTTGTCTGGAAGTTTGTTCCAAAGTTTTGGTGCATAGATGCTGAAAGCTGAGTTGAGTGATTAATTCCTTTGGATCAGGTGAAGTAAATATAATATCTAAAACCTGCAGGGAAACTGGAGGAACAGGATTGGTCACTGGATGCGTTACCTGGGCGACACTCTAAAAACAGCATGGTTAAAACAAGTCAATCTGGAAGTTAGCTAAACCAGTACTGGGTCAAACATTGACCAGTTCAGCCAGTCACAATCAATTACTGAGAAACAGCCTGATCTAAATCGGTAAAAATAATACAGATATTTACTGTTAGGTATCAATCCTAACAGGAAATGCATCACTCCTGCAGCTACAGCCAATTAGCACAAAGCAACATGAGCGCTGATTGGCTGGCCAACGTCTTACATATGTTAGTTTCCCATGATGCATTGTCTTCTGTGAGCAGATGGATCTCCTCCAGAGCTAATGTTACTGTCTAAAGAAATGAACCAAATTCAACCAATCAGAGCCAGGAGGCGGGACTTAGCACTGTCAAACAAGCTCATGTACTCGTGCTAAATGTGTTAATGGAGGAGAAACAGCTTACCATTAAAGGAAAACAGTTTATCTGTCATCATCAGTGGCTATGCTAACTAGCTTTACAGCAGATGATGCTAGCTGTAGCATAGCAACGAGCAAAAGAAGAGTGATTGACAGCACTAAGACCCACCTCCTGGCTCTGATTGGCTGTTTCTAGTTGGCACTGGGAGAAAACATGGAAGATTGATTTTTCCATAAATTCTGTCTCAAACTGTCTGACATGGAGATGGATTCAAAAAATATTAACATTTTTTATAAAAGTTACACACTGCAGCCTCAGAGAGCTCCTGAAAATCATTTAGTATAATTAAAACATAAATTTGCATGAAAGTCACAAATGAAACTCAAAAACTGAGTCAGGTCTAAGAAGAAACTCCAGTCTGACAGAAAAAGTTGTAGTTTTCCTGCTGGGCAAAACAAAACGACCTTATTGACCCAGAATCGATTATTGCTCCAATAGTCAGGACGACCTTCCCAGCCTAAAAGACGGCAATAGTTTTAAATATTAGTGATAAAATCAGGTCAGTGTCCTGCAGCGCGTCTGAAACTAATTACTGCATGTTTTTCAGGAAGTGGACGATGACATGAGTTACTGAAAATGTTTCTGGGAAGTGAAGTTGGACATAATTGATTCAGTTTTTCTCTGCAGCTGTTTTTCACTTCAGACCGTGAATCCTCTGTCTGCTCCGGTTCATTCTTCCATCGTGTGATGAAGATATTCAACTTGTTCAGTTAAATTTAGTGGATAAGCTACAGAAAGGCCGGATCATGTCCTTCCTGACACACCAGGACGCCACATTTACGTCTGTCAGGTTTTAACAGACATGATTCAGAGCTTCATGGGAGGCGCCTCATCACTCCGACTGACATTTGGTCCTCTGCCCAGTGAGAACGCCCTGATTTACAAAACAAGATCTGCAGAAACAAAAGGCCTCCCACAGAGGCTGCAGCAGCTGCCGCCGCAGCAGCCTCCGCTGCTGCAGCCAGATTCAGATACTTTCCATTTGCCTTGAACAAACGAACTGAAACACAAACCGATTTAAACCAAATCGGTTTAAAGCTACGAGATTTCAACTTTTTCTATCTAAAGGTGTCAAATAAGTGACCTGCAGGGGGCGCCACAACTGGCATATCTGGGAGTTATAATAAACTGTAATAACCAGGAGTATCAATCTGATATTGATAAAGTATCGGATATCGACCTGCATGTTGAATCTCTGATGGAATCAGTCCGCTCCAGCATTTAGTCCGGCCCGGCTGAGTCATAAAGGCTGACTGAACTTTCCTTACACTCCTTTACAAAATATGTAATAAATGTTTGACACGATACTGGATTGGAAGTGAAAAACTTGGATTGAGACACGCCTAATAATTGCATCTACACTGTAAAAACAAAATCTTACCAAGTGTTTTAAATCTTGTTTCTACAGTAAATATCTTAGTTCACTTGAAATAAGACAATTCAAGCTAATTTTAAATCAATAATTCTTTAATATTGATTTAAAACATACCAGTTCCACTGGTAGATTATTTCACATAAAAATGGAACAAATATCTTGTATAAGTGAAAAATATTAGTCAATAATATTAAGGAATTATTGACTAATAGAAAATGTACTTATTTTTGTCTCATGTCAGGTGAACTGAGGTAGAAACTAAACCAAGCTGCTTGGTTTTGCAGTGTAATCTGAATAGAAGCTCCAGATTTAATCCTAATCCAAACAGAAATCAATCTTCTCAGGTGATTAGATGTGATTTTCCTCCATGAAAGCTTCGGGTCTGAGCTGTTGCACAAAGTGAGTGAATGAATCCAGAGTGACTCAGTGCAGATAAGTTGGTGTTATGTTTTATTATGGTTGTTCCCTCAGTTGACATGATAACAGCATCAGATGATTTAATGAACCAACATTTAGCCTCAGCTGCTATTTTACCCTCTAATTTATGAATCTGGTGGTTATATTTGAAAACACAAGTTTGCAGTTCAGAACAGCAGCATGAATCACTGTAATTACACGAGTCATAAGAAAATGTTGTGACTCCATCCAGCTCTGAGCTGCAGCACCTGACGAAGCCGACGTCACTGAGGGATCAGAGCGGAGGCAGCAGAAAGCCGACCTGGTTTTATTACGTTTATTCACCCTGAGATTAAAAATACCACAGATTCAACCAGCGCATCAGGAACTGCAGATGAATGGAGAAACTGAAAGGAAGTCAAACATTATGACTGATGAATCAGAGGGAAGGTGTTGCTGCAGCTCAGCGCCGAACATGTTGGAGGAATTTCACAAAACATTGAGTTAGAAAATGATAAACTAGTTAAGACACTCAGTTGCCTGGGAAAAATCAGCTTTTGTCTCATTTCTGTGTTTTCCTCCAGCAGATAAAAACTTTTCCACAAGTGAGAAAAAGAGTTTGTGTGATGAGTGCAGCGGCAGAAGACGGGCTGCTGCAGAAGCCGGGCTGCTGCAGAAGCCGGGCTGCTGCAGAAGCCGGGCTGCTGCAGCGGCGTTGTGCAGACGCCTTGGAAAGACTTAATTCTGTCCTCCTGCGATGGCGCGGCGCCAGCGGGTTCAGGGCGTGTTCTCCAGAGGAGCGACATCAACTTATTGTTCAACACATTCCTGCAGGCGCAACAGGCAGAAAACTGCA